CCAAAGTATTTGAGCACAGCAGCTGCCTGCAACTATATATTCAGCTTCAGCAGTGATGGTAGCAATTGAGCTTTGTTTCTTGCTGAACCATGAAACAAGTCTTCCACCAATTAATTGACAAGTACCTGAGGTACTTTTTCTGTCAATTTTGCATCCAGCAAAGTCAGAGTCTGAGTATCCATAGAGTTCAAAACCTCCATTTGTTGGGTACCATAATCCAGAGTTAGGATTCCCTTTCAGGTACCTCAATATTTTCTTTGCAGCTAGGAGATGGCTTTCTTTAGGCTTTGCTTGAAACCTTGCACACACACCAACTGAGTTGGAAATATCTGGCCTACTAGTGGTAAGATATAACAAGGACCCAATCAAGCCTCTATAAAGTGTGGGATCAACATTTTTGCCATCTTCATCCTGACTTAGACCTTGGTATGTATTCATTGGTATTTTCACAGTAGACTTGTTTTCAACCTTGAATTTCTTCATGAGATCTCTAGTATATTTGGCTTGGTTGATGAAGATACCTTGTGGAGTTTGTTTCACTTGTAATCCCAAGAAATAGTTCAACTCTCCCATCATGCTCATCTCAAATTTCTTTTGCATGAGTTGAGAATTTCTCACATAGTGCTTGATTTGAGCTTCCAAAAATTATGTCAACATAAATTTGAACAAGCAGTATGTGGGGACCTTCTTCAATTTTGAATAATGTCTTGTCTACTTTGCCTTTAGTGAATCCATTATTCACTAGATATTCAGAGAGAGTGTCATACCATGCTCTTGGGGCTTGTTTGAGTCCATAATGAGCTTTATGCAGTTTGTAGACTAGATCCTTCTCTCTTTTGACTTCAAAACCAGGAGGCTGCTCCACATAGACCTCCTCCTCTAGTAGACCGTTTAGGAATGCACTTTTCACGTCTATTTGATAGACAGTGAATTGCTTATGGGCAGCATAAGCCAAGAAAATTCTTATTGCTTCTAATCAGGCAACAGGAGCAAAGGTTTCATCAAAATCTATACCTTCTTCTTGGCAGTAGCCTTTGGCTACAAGTCTGGACTTGTTTTTGATAATGATGCCTTCCTCATTCATCTTGTTTCTGAATACCCACTTTGTTCCTATCACATGTTGATGATAGGGCCTGGGTACAAGCTCCCATACGTCATTTCTCTCAAACTGGTTGAGTTCTTCTTGCATTGCTTGTATCCAGTCAGAATCTAGCAGAGCTTCTTCAGTCTTCTTTGGTTCAATTTGTGAGATGAAGCATGCGAACAATGCTTCTCTTTGGGTTGATGATCTGGTACGAACCCCTTCATGGATGTTTCCAATAATCTGTTGTGGAGGATGTTGATTTAACCATCTAATGTCACATGACTGATTGATGTTGTTTTGGATTTGTTGGTCATCCTCCTCTTCTTCTTCTTCTTCTTCTTCTTCTTCTTCTGTATCGTCTGGTAGTATAGGATGATTGTGAATATTATGAGTGCCTGGAAAGTTGTCTTTTGGTGAGTCACCTGCTGGCAGAGTGGGCTTCCAGTTGAGTCAACTGCTGGCAGTGAACTGCCGTTTGAGTTAACTGCCTTTTCATTAGTTTGAACGTTGCTATTTGGAAGGCAGCTTGGAGCCTTTCCAGTGACATTTGATTTGGATGACTCACCTTTATCATTTAATTTAGCAGTGAGGTGGTTTTCAAATACCACATGGATTGATTCTTCTACCACCAGAGTTCTTTTGTTGAGGATACGGAATGCCTTGCTTGTTGTTGAGTAGCCCAGGAATATCCCTTCATCAGATTTGGGATCAAATGGTTTGAGATAGTCTTTTTCATTGTTTAGGATAAAGCATTTCGATCCAAACACATGGAAATGACTAACATTAGGCTTCCTTTCTTTCCATAACTCATATGGTGTCTTTTTGTGAGTCTTATGAATAAGACTTCTATTCTGGGTGTAGCAAACGGTGTTGATTGCTTCTGCCCAAAATCGTTTGGTAATCCAGCTGCTTCTAGAATTGTTCTTCCAGCCTCCTTGAGTGTCCTATTTCTCCTTTCAGCAACACCATTTTGTTGAGGTGTTCTTGCTGCTGAAGTTTGATGATGGATTCCATTTTCTTCACAGTACTGAATTATGATGGAGTTGAGAAATTCAGTACCTCTATCTGACCTGATCTTCTGGATTGAGAGACTCTTCTCATTTTGAATTAGCTTCATTAATTCATGGAGTTTCTTCTTTGTTTCATTCTTCTTCTTTAAGAATATGGTCCAAGTGTATCTAGAGTAATCATCAACTACAACCAGGGTGTACCTTCTACCACTTAAACTTGTTGGTTCAACTGGTCCAAATAAGTCAAGGTGTAGTAGGCTTAAGGGCCTGGTTGATGATTCCACTTCCTTTGATTTGAATGATACCTTGGTTTGTTTTCCTTTTTGACAAGCATCACAGAGGTGGTCCTTTTTGAAGTTGATTTCGGGGAGTCCTTTCACCAATCCTTTTCTGGACAGTTTGTTGATTGTTTTGAAGTTTAGATGGCTTAATTTGTTGTGTCATTCCCAACTCAAATTTGAATCTGCCTTTGTCACCAAGCAGATCCCTTCCTTTGCTGAGCTCCAATCAACAATGTACATATCGATTATTCTAAAATAATCGATAGTTGGGATTATTATGGGCGGACCACCAATAGTTGGGATTATTCCTATCAATTTTTCCTTTTGTAAATAAGATTACACCCCATGACATTGAAATATTTTTGTTGGCCTTGATAAAGAAGACCTGGTATTTGATGTTTTACTTAGCAGGGCTGTAAGTAAGACCAACTAAGTTTAATGCAAATCATAAAGAAATATAAATAATTTATATCTGTGTGTGTGTTACCAAAATCAAAAGAGAAGTAAAGATCATAGCGATGAACAGAATATGATAATATCATTTTGTAAAATAGAAATATATAATAGATTTAGTAAAATATAAGCACAAAATATTACAATGGATATAAGAAAATCGGAATATATATATATATAGATAGACACACATCACAATCTCGAGTCATACATACAAAATCAAAACTGATGCAAAAAATCAAATTAAAGGAAGGAGATGTAAGGAATATACCCATCGATCTGCTCTAAGCCACCGCCAACATTCAGATGTTCGGGTAAGGGGTAGATCCCATAATAAATAGCACTCACGACATTATTGAACCACCGAAATAGTCAGATAAGAGGAAAATTATCAACGATGATAAACAATAAAAAAGGCTTTGAGAAGAAATCACAGCGAGAAGTAACGAGACCATAGCAACTTGCGCTAAGAGAGGTTATCGGATGGTCTGAAGATTCCTTAGATTGGTTGTACGGATGAAATAAAGTGGCTGATGTGAAATGTAATCTTATACTCCGTAGAGTGTATAGCTTAGGGTTTGAAATGGTTCAGGGTAAATGGTGAGTGTTGGTGGGCAGTGGGCTGAGCTGGGCTCATATGAGCTGATAAGGTCTGGATTGATATTTGATAACATACGGAGTATTAATTATTAGAGATATTATCCAAAATGAGACTAAAAAGGTTTGGAAATTCCAAAATATGACTTCCATGTTTTTATTCACAAAATAGGACTAATTACTGTCATATTTTGGCAGTACCAGACTTCAAACATGACATTATTTTCCTAATTTGACAGTAATTAGTCCTATTTTGGGAATAAAAACATGACAGTCCTATTTTGGAATTTTCAAACTTTTTTAGTCCCATTTCGGGAACTTTCCCATATTATTATTGCTAATAAGTTTAAAATGCATATATATTGTAATAAAAATAGAGGTACTGTGTAAAATGCATATATATTGTAATAAAAATGGGGTATTGACAATTTTTGTTTATTTTTATCAAATAAAAAATTATTTGCAATTATTTATGTTGTTATTTAAAAGTGTATGTCCTGAATTGCGTAAAAAAGTGTTTAAAATTTGATGCTAAAAATATTTGTGGGAAAATTATGGGTTCAGAATTTCTTAAAAATTAAAAAAAGGTTTTATTTGTGGAAAAACTCAGAACCGGGTTTTTCCGGGTTTACGGGGGGTTTGGTGTCCGGGTCCAGACCGGGTTTTTGCGGGTCAATCGGGGTTTTTCCGGATTTTAACTAATCGAACAAAACTTTGACCCAAGTTGACCCGACCAGTTCAGGTCAGTTTTTTAAACACAACTAATAGTATTAACACATCATTTTATATAATAATTACTTAATATATGTCCCGTGCATCGCACGGGTGAGAATCTAGTTCTTTTCAAAAAGCTACAGTATTAATCATTGTCATATCAAACCTACCAAGTTTCTACGCAAGAAGGTAGCTGGGGTGGTGAAGAGCTCACAAGTACCAAGCCGCATCAAGGGTTTCTGTGCAAGTTCCTTTCTGGAAGCTGTATAATTCGCCACGTAGTCATCTACATGGACTTGGTTTAATTCGCCACGTAGTCATCGACTCCGTAATAATTTGGGTCAAACAATTTGTTGGGCTACATGGGCTTCTCAGTTTCAAACTTTGCCAGCTTTGAAGTCCCACGAAATGGGCTGAATCCAGTACAAGCAATTCCAGTAATCTACTACAATATAAAAGCAAAATCTATGAAAACACTGTTTTTTCAACAGTGTTCCCGCCCAGAAGAGTCTGATCAGTTATATTACATAAATAACCCTGTAAAAGTTAATTTCTAAAGGGTAAAATTGCACTAAGAGATTATCATTACATTGTGAACAGTTGAGCCGTAAAAACAGACATTACAGCTGTAAAAAATTGATATTACAGCCTCTTCTTAGTTACTGTTTGCTGATGGAATAGGCATCTCCATCCGAATTTGGTGGCTGGGCATGCTTTTTCTGAAATTAAAGCAAACTGATATCATTATAATTGTAAATATTTTGTTGGATGGTGTATTGCTCTAATAAAATGATAAAATGATAAAAGGATAAGTGTTTGACAGCTCATTGGGGCCATTTTCGTAAAAATAAATAAACATGAATATATGTTTGCATAGTGAATAGGCAATGGCATGCCAGGTTGCTATAAATACCCATGTCATCCATCACTTTTTACTATCCTTCATTGAGTTCCTCCTAAATACTTAATTGCTCAAAATGGTTGGCATGTGGTCTTTAATAAACCAGTTTGGCCAAGACAAAACATCTTGGACTGTCAAAGTAAGAGCGGTTCGGGTATATGCAACCCCAGCCTATGGGATTCATGGTGAATCCTTGCACTGCATTTTCCATGACTCCGAGGTTAGTTATTTTCTTTTCAGTTTGATGTGTAAAAGTTGTAGTGATTCTATGAACTAACATGTGTCTACACAGGGAACAAAAATACATGCACACATTGTGAAAGCCCAGGTTCCAAAGTTTGAGCCATTGTTCAAGGAAGGAAAAGTGTATGCAATTAGAAATTTCCTGGTCCAAGACAACTATATGAATTTCAAGACAACGAGGAATGCTTATAAGTTGTTGTTCCTCAATAAAACTGAAGCATTTGAGATTTCAAAAATCAATTTCCCAATGAGGATGTTTGACTTTACATCAATTGCTGCCTTGCAAGCCGCCGAAGAGGTTGATGACAGCCACGCGATAGGTAAATTTTCATTAAAAAATTGTTTTCTGTTAAATGTTTGTTGTAAGGAAAAGTCATTATGAAAATTTCTATCGCTTATAGATGTCATCGGCAAGGTAACATCAATGTCACACCCTAAGGCACTAACAAAGCTCGGTAGGCAAACTCAGTTGGTGGATCTCACCCTTGGTGATGCTCAGTAAGTATTTTTAACTTAAGGTTTCATACTGCTGTACTATTAAATGCTCAAACTTATCTAATGTTATGATGTAGTGGGAATACGATTACTTGCACTTTATGGGAGGACTTGGTGGACCAGTTGATAGATTTTCTGAAAACAAAACCTAAAAAGATCTTTCTAATTCTTCAACTATGCCGTGCAAGGAAATTTCAGGGTATGTGTTCATAGCTATATGATTCCTATATCACATTCTTAGAGCGCATGTATGCAGTTTGTATATTTACACTTGACAGTTTAAATTTTTTAGGTCGTGTGGGTGTAACAAACATGTTCAACATGTCAAAGATGCTGCTGAACAGTGACAGAAAGGAGAGTGTGGAGTTTATAGCGTCGTAAGTATTTCATAAAGAATTGAAACTAAAAATTAATGTTTGTAATGTAATCAACTCATCACAAAAATGATATAGGTTTGGGCCTGATAATGATGATGATGGGGATGATCTAGCCTTGGGCAGTTTTGTTACTCCTACCCTTCAAGATGATCTAGAAAGCGGTGAAGTTAACTTGGTTTCTGTTGATGATCTAATGAAAATGAAAGAGGTGAGGTTTAACATATGCAATTGATTATAAAACAATGAATGTAATTTGATTGGTACAAATTGATAACATTTTGGGATGTATTTTGTTCATAGGATGGCAAGCATTGGGTCTGTGGAGAGATATTGGCAATAGACAGTTACCGAGATTGGTACTATATTTCTTGCAAGGGGTGTAGTAGAAAAGTGAAATCTGAAGGTGATAGTTTCAGGTGTGGAGCGTGCAACACTACAGAAGTTGTTCTGAGGTTAGAAATGTTTTTCATATTTGGATTTTTTAAAGTGCCAGAATACAGACCTACACTAATGTTTGTGATTTTTGTGAGTTTTCAGGTACAAGGTCAATGTGAGGGTGATGGATGAAACCGGTCATGCTTCCTTTGTATTTTGGGACAAAGAATGCACTGCTTTGGTAGGAAAGACAGCAAATACTCTTCGTGAAGAGATTGAAAAGGTTTTTTTAAGATATGTTTTAATGTTTAATGTTGAGATAGGTATGAGGAATATACAAAGTTTAATATATATAAGTTCGTGGAATATACAGAAAGGTGCTGGACTTTACTATTTTCCAGTTGAAATTGATGCATTGGTTGGAATTGAGGGGTTGTTTCGAGTTCAAACAAAGAGTGAAACTATAAGCTACAGGGGTGTGCCAACGTTTAGTGTAATTGGGATGAATTGTGATCCTGTCGTTGTGGGTTTGTACAAGAGCAAGAATAAAGGAAAAGCAGTGGAGGATGAAGATGATTTCGTGTTGCTCAAAAAGGAGTTTTCCGTGACTGAGGAAGTATGTGTGATATGCCTTATAATTTGTGACTTGATGTTTGGGTTGACTATTTGATAATTACTACCCCTATTAAATTTAGAATACTTCTGTGACTAAAGTCTTTTAAATTTGGCAGGTCATCCCACTTGAAGAGGAGGAGACAAGTCCCCTGCTGACCAAGGGACAAAGGAAAGCACTACAGATAAACAATGATGGCATCAAGAGGAAGTTGTTTGATGAGTCCTCATTTATCCATCCTGTGAAGAGGTTGCGGAAAGTGAAGGTGGAAAAGCAGTAGGAGTCGCAAAATTACTATGTTTTTGGCAACTAAAGTACACTATGTATATGTATCAGTTGTGTGTTTTCGGTGTTTTCATGGACCTCTATATATTTTTTGTGCCTGTAATATCTTAGGAAAAAAGATCAGGTTATGATACAAACTTTTGATGCGGATTACTTGCTAGGTAGTCCATTTTGATCTTATGTTTGTAAGGAATGGCATTTGCCAAGTGTTATGTAACCTATTCTTAATCTAATGCAATCATGTTGTGTTCCAATTTCCAGTTATGTTAATTTGTTGTAGAACATTACATTTAAGCCTGCAAAAAAACTCTACCCTACCTCAACCACTGTTGATTTAAATACATAATAGACTCACTAGATCGAAAATGGAAAATATGTCTTACTAAAACTGAAAAACCCAAATTGAATAAATATTAGATAACTATAAATATCAAAAAATTTGTCTCTGTAGTTAAATATAAATATCCATATTTTGAGTCTGTATGGTTAAATATTAGTGGCCACCTCATAAAAAAAAATTAAGAAGTCATGATCAGTAAAAGCAGAAAATAGTTTAGACAAATGGATATAAGGTAAATAACTATATGTAAATAAATACATGTAATGAATAATATAAAGTAAATATATATGTAATATGCAATATAAGAACCATATAGACTACCGAAATTGTTTTTATGCGGTATATCATCTGCCATATTAAATAACAAATCAAATTGAAATTGAAGCTCATGTTTTAAATGTAAATATATATTTTTAAATTTATATTTTAGATAATAAATAATAAAATAATGTTTTAAAATAAACTAAATGTTGTGGATAATATTAATATTGTGGATAATATTAATTGGAAAAAATATAATTGTGATGAATCAGTGAGTATACTTTAATATGGTTATTATTATTGAATATAATTTACTCATTAAAATATAATTGGAAAATAAATATTTTAGGTAATATATTTAGATAATAAATACTCCGTAATAAATAATAAAATAATGCAAAAAAAAAAACAAATGGAAATTGTATTGTACTAAGTATTTGTAAATTGGAAATAACCATAAACAACTATGTGATTTAGATTTTTATGTTTTAAGAACTATACGTATTTTTGAAGCTCAGGTTTTAAATGTAAATCTATATTTTTAAATTTATATATTTGGATGATGAATAATAAATAATATAATCATAAAATAATGTTTCAAAAAAACATTGTGGATAATATTAATTGGGAAAAAATATAAATGTGATGAACCAGTGAGTATACTTGAATATAGTTAGTATTATTGAATATAATTTAAATAATAATTGGAAAATAAACATTTAAATAAATATTATAGATACTATTTTTAGATAATAAATTGTAAAAAAAACGAAAAAAAAAACAGATTGAAAACTAATGGAAATGTATTGTGATGAATCTGCAAGCGTACTGTACTAAGTATTTATGAATTGGAAATTACGATAAGCAACTATGAGATTTAGGTTTTTATGTTTTAAGAACTATACGTATTTTTGAATCTCGGGTTTTAAATGTAAATATATATTTTTAAATTTAAAATTTTCAAAAATAGGTAGATAATTTAGAAATGAAGTAGGAAATAATGATTGATAGGTACATAATTATTCAAGGTGTTGGATACCTATACCGTGAATAATAGTTATTCAATAGGTACTCGGTATATGGTTTAAAAAAAGAAGACATAAGTATGGAAAACGTTTTAATATGAGTCATATGCAATATCAAATTTTAAGCAAATAAATATAAGAAAGTAGGAATTATCTTGCCTCAAAAAGTGGTCATAATGATGGTTTATTACCTCAGAAAAGAGTTGAAGATAGACTATCAAAATTTATTTTATAAGGTATATCATCTGCCTTCTCAAATGACAAATCAAATTGAAATTGAATCTTAGGTTTTAAATGTAAATATATAAGGATTATTTCACAATTTATATTTATAAATAATAAATAATGTGGAGATAAAATAATGTTTTGATTTATATTTATTTCATGATAATATTTATCATACAAAATTACGAAAAATTGTACTCTGTATGAACCACACCATTTATAATTATTCAGTACTACTATTGATAAGTAGCCTTGATTATCACAGAGTCCAGAAAACAAAAAGTAGCCGTATTGCAGGTATGGAGTAACTTTTTACACTCACGAGAGGTCGTCATGATGGTGTTTTTCATTCAAAGGGTGTTTAACATATACGCATCTAAGATATGGAGTAACTTTTTACACTCATGCGGGTGATATACAGCCGTTTTGCAGCATATAGGCGGCTGTCAAATGTGAGAGGTCAGGATTATAGGTTGTTTTATTTTAATAAGAGTTTAAGGTAGATTAAATAAAAAAAATTATAAGGATTTCATACGCAATATATAAATAAAAATGGAAGATTTAATATTAAATCGGGATACATTCCGTATATTTTACCATTTCTTTTTTTTAATTATTTCATAACGAAATAAAAAATGTATGAAGTACCATTAATAATTATTCAGTATCACTATTGATATATAGATAAGTAGGTTTAATGATCACAATGTATAGGAAAAAACTTTTCACAACTGATGTAAAAGCAAAAAGGCAGCCGTTTTGCAGCTCTTAGGAGGCAGTCAGATTTAAGAGCTCATGATGGTGGTTCTTTTGCCTTAATGAGTGGTAAAGCTAGACTATCGAAAATCTATTCGCATGCAATTTATCATATGCAATTTATCATATGCAATGTCAAATAAAAAAATAAATTGCTATGGAAAGTTTAGTTATTAAATGGAGATTCATAATTTACAATTTATTTATTTTTAAATAACGGGTATGAAAAATACTATTTTATTTTATATTTAATTCGTGATAATAATATTAATCTTGCTGAGTCACGCAAACAAGCTGCTCTGTATGAACTACCATTTACATTTCTCCAGTTTCATAATTAGTATAGCTTGAAATAGATAAAGTGGGTTTAATCATCACAATGCCTAGCAATTAACTTTTCACGACTGATGTGAAAGCAAATAGCCAGGACCCTGGAGGCACTCAGATGTGATAGGTGATAATGATGGTCTGTTTTGCTGCAAAAAGTCTTTAAGCCTAATCTAAGATAGGGTTTATACGTGTCATTGTATGCATGAACAATGAATTGACTATTAAAATATGCAACCCTGCTATAGGTACCCCCAATTGGTACCCCCAATTTGTACTCCAACCTGTTTTTGTGGCTCACAAAAGCCCACCTCAATAAATGAATTGCTTCAATTTAATGAGGTGCTTTTGTGAGCCACAAAATTTGGGTGGGGGTACAAATTGGGGTACCAATTGAGGTACCTTTAGCATTTTTCTAAAACATAATTTGGCAACCTTGATAAGCAATTAAAAAAAGGACTTGACAATTAAAATAAATCGATTATCGGCCACTCTTTCCACCAATCAAATTAGAATAATTATTTTTCGGGTAACAAAATACTATTTGTTTTAATATTTAATTGCTTTTATACGGAATAAGTGTCATACGGAGTACTACATAACCAGCAAAAAGGTGTAAGCTACAATGTGTAATTAATAAGTATCATACATGGTAGTAAATATATCTCATAATAGAGAATTAGGTTTTGCTTTTAAAAAAATACATAAGTAGGTCTAATTATCACAATGTCTAGCAAAAATAACTTTATAGAACCATGTGAAAGCAAAAAGCAAAAACCATGGGCAAACAGACAGTTGCGAGATCATAATGATGGTTTATTACCCACAAAAGTGTTAAAACCATATCTAAAAGATACTTTGCAGGACTTATTGCATGCGTTAAGTGGATTTGACTTTGAAAATAACGTTTGGACCCTTGATGAGTACGGAGTAAATAAAAAGGGCCTGGCTATTAGACAAGTGAGCCGCCCTATGCACCAGTCAGGTTAGACAACGTGGTGGCTATTAGGTTTAAAACAATGATGATGATAGTGCGAAATACAAGGGAGATGCTTCAATATAAATAGAGTGCTCACCTACTTACTTTCTCAAGCTTTCCACATCAAGTACAAAGAAATAGCATTGAAGTTAATGTGCTGAGGTTTTTGGTGTACCTACATCAGGTAAAAATAAATTTAAAAGTCTTGACATCAACCCATACTTAGCATTTATTGTGTCGAGTGCCATTAAAGGCTCAAGTTTCTCTTGACACATCAATATATAATGAATATTTTTTTAAGTAACTACCTTTAAAGGTTAATATGAAAATTTTATGCAAATTTCATAGTACATTTCATCAAATGTTTCTTCTGTAATTTTTTTACATCTAAAGTTTATTGAAAATCTAATCCGTACAGAAGAAAATGATTGCATGCATGCCTGCGTTTTATGACTAAAATTCTTATATATGTAATTTTGAAATTATGTGTAGAGAAAATGGGGGAAAAACTTTTTCCAAATGTGATTTGTAATGTCTGCGGCAGCAGTGAATGGGGGCATCTCATAGTGAAGTGTGTTGTATGCACAAATGCACAACATCGGTACTGCATGAGGGAGGTGTCTTTTGATCTTGATCTTAGGTGGATGTGTGAAGAATGTGTAGATAATGTTCACCGAATGGCTGAATTGGACTCTTTTGGCATGATC